GGTGTTTTCTACTGGAAATGTAAACGTCTAATTGTTTATTTGCCAGGGAGTGTGGAAGCCCAGGAAGATCCCTAACCCAGACTTCTTTGAGGACCTGCACCCGTTCCGTATGACTCCAATCAGCGCCGTCGGTCTGGAGCTCTGGTCCATGTCTTCTGATATCTTCTTTGACAACTTCTTCATTACCTCTGATCGTAATGTGGCAGAGCGATGGGCGGCTGATGGCTGGGGTCTGAAGAAAGCAGCTGAGGGAGCCGCAGAGGTGTGAAAAATCTCTGTTTATCTTCTCTATCTTTCCTTCAGTCAGGCGCTCATCAGTGAGATGAGAGCATGCAGATAACTAAAAAAGGCACATCCTCATCCACTGCATTTTGCATGCAAAAAATCATCAGCTTTATCAAAAGCGGCAGTCTGATTGGTTAACTTTGTTTCCTGGAGACAGTGTGCACAGGTTTTTGTAATTACACCAGGAGGCAGTTTCTAGGCTGATACGTTAAACACTTATGAGGAAGGATTTGCCAAGGTTTGTGAGGTTTATGGCACAAGGTTTTTTTTGTTTGTTTGTTTTTTCTGTGGTGTGACTTCCAACAAATTATAGTATGTAGAACGTAGCACAAATTTTAACCTAGATTTTTATTTGTTGTTGACCTCTATATGACTATGCCAATAGTAAGAAGTCATAATTGTGAAATTATTTTTCTTCCTCATTTTTTCCTTTGTGTTTCTTGTTTTCCTGACTCGCCTGTTGTAAGGGAATGCCATGTGTGTTAGTTGTGTTAGTAGCAGTGCTCTGAAAATCTGTTTCCACTTCCTCCTGAGACTTTCTCACATAACACAGCACAGGCGGTTGAAGCAGCCACGTTCTTCCACAGGGCGTGGAGCCGTCTCCTCATCAACCCACACACATTCACACAGTACACATGAACACACGGATCTGCCTAGCAAACACACACAGCAAGGCCACAGCTCCTCGTACCACTGTGCCCTTCACACAGCCCACGTCTAACCTCTGAATCGCTACACTGCAGCAAATATCTGTCCAGAACTCAATATGAGCCCAATCCCAGAGTTCATGCATGATGAATTTCTGGCTGTCTGGAGGTATAAGTGACCTTTTCACTGACATGCACAGTGCTCCATGAAATCCCAAACCCCCCTGGGTTCTGTTTTCTGTAAAAGCATCTCTAATTAATTGAGAACTTACACAATTTAATGACGGTTTATTAAATGTTTAACAAAAAAGACATTTTAAGGCCCTGTTGTTTTTCTCCAAATTCTACGTTTTCCTTTTTTTTTCTTAGGTTTAGTTTTAAAGGTTCATGACTTTTTTGATTATGACTTTTGAGTTTTTTGAATTCACAATAAAATACAATTTACAATAAAATACCATTTGTTAACATTAGTTAACTACATTAGTTAACATGAACTATCAATTAAAAATGAGTTCTAAAGCATTTATTAATCTTAGTTGAACATTGATTCCTATATTTACTAATATATTATAATTTTAATTTGGATCTATTAATGTTATTTAATATACTTGCGCTAACATGGACTAACTAATGTTAACAAACATTAATAAAAACTGTAATAAATGTATTGCTCATTGCTAGTTAATGTTAGTTAATGCATTAAATATAGTTAACAATTGGAACCTAACTGTGAAGTGTAAAAAAA